AGCTGGGGTTACTATAGGAATTGTAATGTGGCAGGGTGCATCTTCAAGCAATGCTGAATGGGACTCTGCTCCCACAGTCTGAAAGGAAAGGTCCCCCAAATTGGACCTCTCACAGGAAGCCCACTTGAGGATGCTCCCCAATTCTTTAAAAAAATTTTTTAATGTTTATTTAGTTTTGAGAGAGAGACAGAGAGACAGAGTGTGAGCAGGGAGAGACAGAGAGAGACACACACCCAGGATCCGAAGCAGGGTCGGGCTCCCAGCTGTCAGCACAGAGTCCGATGTGGGTCTTGAACTCACGAACCGTGAGATCATGACCTGAGCCAAAGTCAGACGCTTAACCGACCGAGCCACCCAGCTGCCCCAGATGCTCCCCAATTCTTAATCTGGATCCTCTGTCCTCTGATGGGTCCTGCTCTCAGAAAATGCCTCCTTCTTTGCACAACCACAATGAAATTCTTACCTTAGCTCCCCTTTAGGGTGACTGTCACCTAGCCACAAATTGGTCTCTCCCTAGGATTCACCACTTCCCCTCATCAGGACAATCCTAGGACTTGAGTAACCGTAGCAGTGCTCCTCTTGAAATCTGGTTGATCCAACCAAGAATTGCACAGGAGGGGAGGGACGTGGTGGCCTAGAAGCTGGGAGGGAACTGGGTGCTCCAGATCCATTCCTGACAGGCTAAGGGTAGATGTCTCCTCTTTCCTATCCAGATGGCAACGAATGGTTCTCTCTCTCTCTCTCTCTCTCTCTCTCTCTCTCTCACACACACACACACACACATACTCTTCTACATTTGCCAAGGACCAGCAGCGTGTTCTCTATCCATTTAATTTAAGCAAGAAAAACTATTTTCTAAGTGGATGCTGATTCCTGCCCTCAATGCATTTGATGCTTAATTATAACGCAAAACTGTGTCCTCTCAGATTTTTTCATCCTTCCAACTCCTAAGTCTTGCCCAGAGGCCTATTGGAACCTAAGACATGGGGCCACTTATGCTACCTTTTAAGGCACAAATCCACGTGGCTCTGAAGACCAGAGCTAAAATCCCAGCTCCAAGACCTTGAGGTACCCCAAAGACCAAATCTCCTTCAGGCAGGGCATCTCTGTACCTTCATCTGTAAGGGCAGGGGAGGCAGGACAAGAGTCAATTAATTTTTTGAGAAGCCCTTCCGGACGTTGTGCTGGGGTTATTTAGGGTTTGAGGATTTGGAAATGGTGGTGAGTCCATATTTATTTTAATCCATATTGTTCACAACTTTGACTGGCTTTGATTCCGGACTGAATATATGATTTTTAAAACCATTTCTGGGGTGCCTGGGTGGCTCAGTCGGTTAAGCGGCCGACTTCGGCTCAGGTCATGATCTCGCGGTCCGTGAGTTCGAGCCCCGCGTCGGGCTCTGTGCTGACAGCTCAGAGCCTGGAGCCTGTTTCAGATCTGTGTCTCCCTCTCTCTCACCCTCCCCCGTTCATGCTCTGTCTCTCTCTGTCTCAAAAATAAATAAACGTTAAAAAAAATTTTTTTTAAATAAAACCATTTCCTATCAAAAGGTAGCACCCCCTTCACCCCCTCCTCACCATCCCCTCTTCTCTAATGTGTCGCTCCCCGACATCCACTTGTAGCTCAGGCCAGCTGCCAGGATGTCACCACGCTGGTCCATCGCTTGAGGCAATAATTACCAAATGGTCACTGCCTTCAACTTTGTCTCAGGCTCCAAGGGTTGACCCCAAATTTAAGTTTCCCAAGAATTTGAAAATTAGTCTATGCCTACTCTCCCTGAACTTCTCCCCGTTTTTATGTTTTTGAAGTCACATATCCTCTTACCTGTCGACCGCATTTTGAGGGCACATAGTCAACCATGCACACAGTAAGTGCTTAATTAATATTTTGTTGGATTAATTGAATGGTTCTGAATAACAAAATTATTCACTCAGTGACCCTCCCATTTATAATCTTATTAAACGCCTCTGTGGTGTGAGGAGAGGGGTACAGATGTACATACAAGAGATCCAGTTCCAAACAGATGATTCCTCCAGGTATAATGCATGGAAAGTATGCAAAGGGCATTGGATGTTCAGACCTCCTGGGTTGGAGAACTCCTTGATGACGGGTTGTGTGACCTTGGACAGGCTAACTCACCTCTCCAAGCTGCACTTCCATTGCTGATAAAAACAAGGACAGTGATAGGATCTGTCTTGTGTTGTTGTTTAAGATTAAATAAAATGAATGCCCACAGCACTGGATCATAGGAAGGGCTTAATACATATAAACTATCATTGTGCTGCTAGGTCCCAGAGGGGAACAATTTGGCCATTGAATATGTGAATGTTTTCAAGTGTAGACAGAGGACCGTCTATATCAGATTCCACTTGGGTCCACTTAAAATATGAAGATCCCTGGGTCCTACCACAGACGTACTGAATCGTGCTTTCTCACGCTGAGACACAGGCTTCTGGATTTTATGCGGCTTCCCAGGCATATGCAGAGGAGAGGCACTCCAGCTTGTCCCCGTGGTGTGGGCAGATGTTTTACCTGCCACTCTAGGGCTCCTGAGATGTTCTGTGTGAGCTGTCCTGCTTAAGAGACCAGGTGGGCAGTGTTCATCCGCTTCTTCGTGTGCCAGGTGACCGGTTGGCCCCAATTTCTGGAAAGATCTTAAAGGCCAGTTTAAGGTGGGGTCATTCATTGTGATGCATAGCAGCTCTGTTAGCCCATGTTTCACATTCTTTATTTGTAATCTCTTTCTAGACTAGATGTAGGCAAACGTGAAGGGACATATGAAGAAAGAATAAGAAGAAGAGGGGAGGCGAATGCTGCTAGCAAAGCAACAGACACGGAAGGCACAGGCTAGAAGCAGAGAATGAACAAAAAGAAGAGAATGACATCAGGAAGAGGATATTTTGGTGTGGCCAAACCAAACCACTGGCCATCTTTGGGTCCTCTGCTCTTTGTCCCTTGGGGACGGCAGGGGTGAAGTGGGGTGGATCGTAGGCAGGGGCTTTACAGCGTCAGAGCAGATGTTTGTTAACAACAGGCCAGTGTCAGTTCAGTGTGAAACTATTAAAAAATTTAGTTTTATTGGCATCTCAGAAAGGCAGCAATTGTTCTATTTCCCTGGCACAACGCTCCCACGAGGCAGGTTGCAACTTGCCGTGTTTGCCCAAGCCTTAGCGGAGTGCCCAGGGAGGCGACGAATAGGCACGTCATTTTGAAAGCCCATCTGTCTCCCGATAGAAAAAGGTCCCCTGAGGTGGGGGTTTGTCAGCTTCTTCTCCTCAGTCCCCAGAGGAGGGGCCTCCAGCAGCTCTTATGCTTGGCACCTTTATGATCTGTGGACAGTCAGCCCTTCTGGAGAGCTCTGACTAGCTGTAGGGAGGCACACCTGTGCTTATATGAGGAAGTCGAGATTAACGGGGGATGATTTCACAGGTTCCCGAGCAGCCTTTCACAAACGACGGCTCAAACTCTTCACCACCGGAGAGTGCGTAAAAAGCACAGCTTTGGTGTTCTTCAGACCCAAGCCTGGGTGCTCACTGGCTGGGTGACATTGGGTAGGTGACGTGACTTCTCTGACTCTCAGACTGTTCATTCTGCTATCAGTATTGCCGTGAAGATTGAGAGGATGTGTGAGGAAACCCTCAGGCAATGCTGGCACACAGAAAGGGTTTGCAAAATGGTAGCCGTGGCCACTGCCAATGGTATGAATGTCGGTGCCATTGTGCAGAAACTTGGGACGTGGAAAACGCCCCTCCAGGCTTCATTGCAGGGATTAAGTCCTGTGATTTAATGCCCTCAGTGAACAGGATTGAACAGTAGAGTGTAGCATAGGTAGCTTAAGCAACTGCCCTTCACCTCGAAGGATGGTTGGGCTTGTTCAAGTAGATTAATCAGAGGAAGTCGACTCTGAAATTCAGTTGTAAACAACATGGTCAATCCTATCAACCAACGTGTAGAAACAAATGGCACAATGCCTATTTAAGGACTTAATGAAGACATTTGGAAATAGAAGATAACGACGACTTCCAAGCTTTGTGGTACATCAACAGCATGGCGGCTCTCAGGAGAAAAAAGACCAAGTATTTGCCCTTAAAGCTTACAAAACAACACTTTGGGAATGAAGAATTATCTACAGGTTAATATTGCTGTAGGTAAGATGTGCCTTTTGGGCATATTAACATTTCATTGACGAATGTTGGATAGGAGAAGCTAATGATTCATAAATGTCTTTCTCTGATGTTGCCTTAAGACGTACACCCTCATTTGGAGGTGAGGCTGCCCCTCCTTTTCAACCACCACAGCTGTGTCTACCCTCCACCCCCATGGGAGCCAAGGCATCTGGCCACATTAAAATAATTTTAGGGGCACCTGGGTGGCTCAGTTGGTTAGGCGTCCAACTCTTGGTTTTGGCTCAGGTCATGATCTTGTGGTTTCATAAGTTTGAGCCCTGCGAGGGGCTCTGTGCTGGCACCAAGGAGCCTGCTTGGGATTCTCTGTCTTCCTCTCTCTCTGCCTCTCCCCTGCTGGCACTTTGTCTCTCTCAAAATAAAATAAAATAAAATAAAATAAAATAAAATAATTTTAAATTCATGAATAAGCGAGCTCAAACTTTTGAAGACTAATTGGTGATTTACCAGAATTAATTGTTATTATTCAAACCAACTGGAAACTGCTACTGGAGAATTAAAAATATGTAAGCCAATTTTTAATAATACAAAATTTATTAGTAAAAAAAATTAGAATTTGTTCATTACATAGAAAAGTAACACAGCTGAACATTCCCTACAAAAATGTTAACTATAAGCACATAGAATAGGAGTGACACAGTGATCAGGTCTGAGGACTTCATATTAATGCCTCGTGAGCATCGGAATATCGAAAATGGTGACATGCAAACTGAGCTTGTGACGTTTTGTCAATGGGTTGGATATTTCGAGTTGTCATTTGGGGCGGCCGAAAAACAGATATAGGTATGCCATGTTCTGAATTACCATAACTGCCATTAACTATAGCAGATGTCACAGTTTGTCCCCCTCTTATAGAAATCGCTGGTGGCCGCTGCAGAGGGGGCAAAGTTCACGTAGTCTGAGCTGGGGTAGGAAAAGTACTCCGATGCCCTGATGGGGTCCAAGTGTTCTGCCTCACACGACGCACAGTAGCAGACGGAGGTGCCGGCCGAGGAGAAGCAGTCGTACTGGGCGTCCGGGGGCAGGTGGGCATAGGAGTAGTCTTCGGAGGGGAAGCCACAGTTCCTGGTGTCCAGAGAAGGGGGAGAATTGTAATTCTCTGGAGCATATGACGGTAGCTGAGCCGGCGAGTAACTGTAGTCCAAGGAACCGGAGAGAGTGGAGGAATCAGAAGGCGATCCCGGGGTCTAGAGAAAACCAAGGAACAAAGAGCTTGATACTTTAGACGGGATTAAAAGAGCTGCACGGAGTGGATTTATTAACTCAGAGTAAGAACACTGGGGGAAAGAAATACAACACAACAGAACACCCAACCCAACCCAAGTGTGCAGAAGTAATTTAATTTGCAGACTGCATGAGTTCACGACACCTTATTCTGTATTTGCCTATTTCTTCCCCAACAATAAATTGCCTTGCTTCACTGGCCTCCTTTGTTGTGAACCATACTTTAGAGGATGCTTTGTTCTTAAACCACAAAATCCCATTGTGCGTCAAGTCACCTGCACGTCAAATCTTGCCGTGTGCCCCAATATAAGCCGCAGGTGGCACCTGGGATGTTCCTCCACACCCTTGACTGTGGACAGACAAGTGAGCGTGCACAGGCAGAAGTGAGATCTTCAACAAGCCAGTGTCTGGGAGACTCCAAGACGTGACTCATAGTCACTACAGTCTTGTCCCCAGAGGAGAAAGATACCTTCTGCTTTCTCATAAGCAGGGCTACAGTTATTACTGAGAAAGCCTTCTTTGGAAGCCAGAAGTGAACTGGATGACTGGGGCCCTGTGTGCATATTCCTTGGAGTTAATTTCCTAGACCCTGAAAATTTAGTCTGCTACATTTTGACAAACCAAAAGAAAAAAAGTATTTGCATTAAAAAAAAAAAAACAACCTTGCTTTTTATGGTTTTAAAAAACTATATGAGTATCTAAAAGACATCTCAAACAATTGGTATCTATTAATGGCAACCTTACTCCATTGTAAATGGTACCATATTTTCCAACATTTGAGGTTCATGAAGAATAGACTGTCCAAATTCTTGGAAGGATTAAGGCTTCTTTTTCACTAGCCATCTCAGACCTAAATGAGTTCTTGTGCCTACACCAGACCAAAACAGGCACTTAGGAGAGCCAATTCAGTGCCAAAAATGAAGCAAAAACCCGTTACTGGAATGAATGCCAGTTTCATACTGTGTAGACGCAGCCTTAATTCCATTTTCAAGAACTCAAAATCAAAAATCCAAGGACTGCTGTTTAAATCAATGATTTCCAATTAATAGATGTCTTAACTACAGTTTTTAAACATTAAATGAACACTGTCAGGAAACCTCTTTTTATTGCCACCCACCACTTACTTGGGCATGGCCAACTTGGGAAATCACGATTCCGCGTGTATCCAAAGCTTTGCCCCCTGCGATGTGTGGTTATTTTGACCCCCACTGAATTTTAACTGGTTCTCTGCTTGTTTCCTGGATGATTTCCTTGTTGATAGTGTGATTTCTCACGAGATGATGCAAACTCTCTTACAAAGCATTACCACCCCAGAGTGAGCAACAGTCAGGTTTTGTAAAGAACCGAGATAAATTACCAGGCTCTGGCTAACGCAGAAAGGGGCGGCTTGGAAGCTGTCAGGGAAATAGTGTGGAGCACTTTGCGCGGAAGTGAGCGAAGGGTCCAGGTGTGTCTCTGTCTGAAGGTAGGAATCAAAGATCTGGTTGAGGCAGCTTGTGTTTTCCTCACAAGAAACACAACTGGAAAATTCTCGGGGTTGAAAATAACTGGGTGTGGAAGAAACCGGTTCAGGCTCAAAACACAGCCCTAGAAGAGAAAGGAATACGCTTTTTGTTGTTGTTGTTGTTGTTGTTGTTGTTGTTGTTTAAAAATTGCCCTTACAACTTTGAATAGAATTCTCTCCTATATTCTGAATATTTATCATGTCTGGGGGGAGGGGCAGGGGGATTTAAGAAGTTCTAGAAAAGTAAATAGGCAGGCAATTTGGATTTTTTTTTAGTTGCCTTAGTGAATTCAAATCCCAATGGAATAAATCTGGTTAATTATGTGGAAAGAGGCTGTAAATGTGGCCAGGGCACAAAATAAAACAATGACAATCCAACCTGAGTCCGACTGTCATAGTCAAATAATGGCTCAAGGCTCTACTTTCTTGGACTATAAGGCATCAACATCCCATTTGCAGTTCAAGTAAACCTCACCTCTCAGAAGTAACATACAGAATTGCATGAGGCTTTAAGAAAACTTCTGATGCCATGGGAAACAATTCTCTTGATTTTGTGTTGCTGCCTTTCTAAACTTTCACACTTATTCAGTAACTTAAATTTTGAGGAGTGATACAAATAGCCATGCAAATAATACAAACAGATACCAAGAACGTAAAGTGAATTAGTGGTATTTGTTACGAGTTACAAAAAGCAAAAATATTTTCTTAGTAGCCATGTTGACGCGATAACAGAATTAAAATAAGTTGTCAGCTACCAAACAAGAATAATTCTGAGAACAGGGCTCCTCTTCCGTTTTTTTTTTTTTATTAATAGGCTCGGTTTCTGATTGCAATCTTTCAATGCTCAAGGAAGATAGGTTTAGACTGTGTTCACCAGAGGACAACAGAACCCTGGATTTTTGGAAGTCTCACGGTTCCTTCAGGCTAAGCTACAGTGGCACCTTCAGTAGGGTGCTAGCTGTTGGATGGCATAGGTAGTGCAGTTACTCGTATTGGGCTGAGAAAGCATATTCTGGAACCTGAGGGGGTCCTGCATTCAGCAGTACACTGAAAAGGATAACAGGTTCCTGAAAACAATGCTGATCTGTTAGTCAAGTTTAGTTCCTTGGAGATTGAAGGAGCCGGAATAAAGGTGGAGATAGACTCTTGGGACAGAGCAGGAAGCAGAGAATAGACGTCTCAGAAATGAGGACAAAACCGTGCCCTTGTTCCCTTGCCGGGCTTGCATCTGGAGGCACGATGCGATTGGTCGGATTCCAATTAAATGGTGGTGCCTCTCTTAACCCCTGAATCAAGCACCTGAAAGGCTTTTGAGAGGGACTTTTGGGAGAGGTTTTGAGGGAACCGCAATGCTGGCTGTACTGACCTGCAGGAGATGGCAGGACTTGGTCTGAAAGGCGGACGCTGTTGCCTCCGGATGGCTGCCAAAGCAAGAACGTGACCACAGAGCAGAGTGAAATCAAAGCGCTATGAGGGGAGAGCTAAGACATTGTCACATGAACTTTGTTGCCTTCTCCTCTAAGGTAAGCCAGATTCTTTCTTCTAGAAGACAGTGGCTGTCGTTACGTATGACCAACGTTACATTTTATTTAGACTCAGTTTTTGTTTGCTTTTTTTTTAATATCAGATTCTCCCACTTACATTTTAAAGGTTAATTTCAGTAAAAGTGAATGTAAATGATTTTCATATTACAGAGAAATGGAACAGTTTGAGACTGCTCGGCAAAGAGCTTTTCTATTAAACTAATTTAAAATGAGTAAGACCTAACCTTATTTAGCCCCAACTATCTATGACTTCATCCATCATCTTCTTCAAAATTTTCATATATTCTCTGGCTGCTTAGCCTTAGGAGTTTTGTGTTTTTTTTCCCCCCAAAAGCACGCAATTCCTAACTTTGCTCATCCTGGGTTAGCTGAAAATATTCCCATGTGCTTACTAGCTATGAAATAGTAAAACAGAAAATATTTTTCTTAAATCTGTAGTCAGTGAGCTGAAGCCTATCTGCCCTCTAGGTCATGGTCAGTAAGTATTCAAACTCTTTGTATGTTCTGTGCTCCTTTCTGTAAGAATTGCTTTTTTCACGACTATATCTAAATGCTTGAAGTTTATGAGATTATTCCTTTTGAACGGATCATTGTATTGAGCAGTGTAGGATTTTCTTTTCCTTTCTTTTTCTTTTTCTCTTTCTTTCTTTCTTTCTTTCTTTCTTTCTTTCTTTCTTTCTTTCTTTTCTTTTCTTTTCTTTTCTTTTC